CCTAGGCTGAGGCAGAGGTACTGCCTGACCTCAGGAGTTTGAGACCAGCCAGAGCAAAATAGTCTAGTGTTGCGAGGGAGGGCACCTGCAGTCCCCGCTACTTGGGAGGCTGAAGCTACGTGGGAGGATCACTCGAGCCTAAGAGTTTGTGGTTGCTGTGAGCTATGATGCCATGGCACTGTACTGAGGGTGACAAAGTGAGACTGTCTCAAAAAGAAAGAGAGAAATTATGTGTTGTCTGAAAAAAGTAATCAAAGGCTTGTTGAATGTCCGTATTTTGTTTCATGTGACTCCTGTACCTCTCCCTGCCCTTCAAGCTTGAACCTGAGCAACAGTGACATCTTAACCATCTACGATGGCGATGAGGTCATGCCCCACATCTTGGGGCAGTACCTTGGGAACAGTGGCCCCCAGAAGTTGTACTCCTCCACGCCAGACCTAACCATCCAGTTCCACTCGGACCCTGCTGGCCTCATCTTCGGAAAGGGCCAGGGATTCATCATGAACTACATTGGTAAGTATCTCACCTGGTAAATGTTCTTTTTCCTGCTTAGATGCAGGTTAAGATGATTCCCTCCGGATACGTCTGTTGGACAGTTTTGTGCTACAGTGGTCTCTTAACTTTTCCGTGCAGTTAATATATGTAGTTTTAAGTATCTCTCTTTAGAAAGTGGGAACATTCAGCACCTACTGTCTGGTTCTTAGCTTAGGGGACTTCTGGCAAATTCCAGGACCACTAAGGGAGTTGAGTTTAGTAGTCTGTGGCACATTCTTTACAAAGTACATTTATACAAGTCAGGGTCTCTCACCCTCAGTACTAGTGACTAGTTAGAAGGACCAGGGCTTGAGTCCCAGCACTGTCACCAAGGGCTGTGTGACCCTGGGTCAGTCAGGGAATGTCTCTGTGCCTTTTTTGTGCCATCTGTAAAATGGGAATAGTAAGACCTACTCCACGAGGATGAAATCAGGATTTAGCAGATGAGGCCTCCTAACTTGAAGGTTCACCATGCGTCATTTGAAATGAGCTGAGATTCACGTCCTCATCAACACACTCTCCCATCATGTGCGGCTTCCCAAAGCATTACCTTTACCTTCTTGCCTGAACAGAAGCTTGGTTCTCCTCTGAAGACTCCTCTTTTCCTGAAGCCCCATCAACAAATCACAGCCCCCACTTCATGTACTTTAGGGTCCACAGATGCGAGAAATACCTTTTTTGATCCTTAATATGGCTGCCAAGCCTTTCTCTCCTGCTCACGTTAAAACCAAACAAAACCTGCTATTATATCCAGAGCTAAGTTCACACACTGTGATACCCACTCTTGGTGGCTTCATCCACTCTCATCCTTCCCTTCTCTTTCCCTGCCTGTAACTCTCCTTCATTCATTAGTGGCCACACCACCCTCATCCAAGCTGCCAACTTCCCTGACAGGCAGAAGACTGGGACCTCACAAACTCAGACTCCAGTGCAGCCCTGTCATGTCACAGCAGAAGCAGCTCTGTACCAGCAAGGATGAGGGGTGCTCATCAGGGGCAGAGCGCGCCCACACCTGCGCTTCCTCATTTACGAACGCAAATGTATCTCCACCCCCAAGATTCTTGGCAGCAGCAGAGAAGCTGGGAGAAACGGAGCCAGGGGTAATCTCAGGAATTTGATAGGCAGGATTCAATCAGCAGTTCCGGGATGTGCTTACACTTCCCGGAAACAAGGCTGGCATCTCGACTTCCAGGATGGAGCGGTGACACAGAGGACTCATCCTACCAAGCCCTCCGCCACCACCATCACCTCCAAAGACCCTCTGGCTGCAGCGAGACTCCGTGTCTTTGCTTCTTTCTTCCCCTTAGCTTGAAGAATTGCCCATCTCTATCTACTATAAATTGTCCTCTCTCTGCCCCCCAACCCGGGTCTAAAATACAAGCCCCACTCCCCCAGACCATTGGCTGTCTCAGCAAGCCTGTGGATGCTAAAATACCTCCCTTCCATTTTTTCCTTTCCAGCTGGTGGACATTTTTCATCCCTGCCTGCTGCGTGTCCACCTCTCAGAGAGGCTAACCCAAGTATTGATCTTCTTTTTTATGTTTCTCAGGGGCCTTTTTACCTTTGATTGTGCTGCTAAATATTTTCAGAATGTTATTGCTACTACTCTTTAGGTTCTCCATTTTTTACTGGGCATTGCCTGGGATGACTCCTATTGGCTGTGCAGGTGAGGTACCCCCCAGAGTTGGTTGCCTTTCGGAGGAGAGTTTCTGGTGCCCTGGCTTGAACCTCTCTCCTTGGATTTCCCCTCCCTCCCAGCTGAAAGCTGAGGTCATCATTTTGCTCATTTGTCTCCACTGGGACCCAGGTCAGTCTTCCAAAACTGCATTTCAGCCCAATGGCAAAAATCTGACTCTGTCCAACCAAAGCTGATCAAGGTTAACCAGAAAGTCTGGCCAATGCTCAGTTCTGCAACATCTTGAAGAGGAAGTGTTCTCATTGATTGAACTTGAAACTTGGATTTGTGTGACAAGCTACAGTTGGCAAACACTTCCACATGCATAATTTAATTTCATCTTTAAATGCATTGTCTCTATATTCCAGAGAATGTGGTTCATAAAACTCTTGAGGCCCCTCCTATATGCGAGGCTATGCACTAGGCACCAGAATCAGAAATGACTAGAATACCCTCCCTGCCCTTGAGCCTAACCAGTGAGACTAAGAAAGACAGTCCCATTAATAGACAACATCAGATGCAACTCCCACTCAGTGGAGGAATCCGATGGTAGGGTCAGGGGTTTCTGTGGTCATCTAGAGAATTCTAGACTGATATAGAGACCTAGATCCAGCTCAGGAAGGTGACCAAGAATTATCTCCTCATCTTGAAGTCAGAACCTTCCATGGGAAGACTGTGTGCCCTATGTGGTTCTGACCTCCTGGAATTCTCCTTTGCACAAAGAGAAGCAAAGAGCCATTCTCCGCACTGCTTCCTGCCCTTTGCCCAGTGTCTGGTCACATGGCCATGTGCATGGGAGGGAAGCTATTAAAAAACAGAGGGGTAAGCAATGCTTTTTGAAGAGGTATTAGTCACTTGTTATGTGTTTATTCCTCTAATCCTAGGATAATAAATCCTAGCACACTTCCCAGAGTGCTGTACTGAGGACTGGGAAGTTTCAGTTGGAATCAAAGAAAGAGAAGGCTGTGATTGATTAGTGATGTCTGTCATGGGCATGAAACTGGTAGATGGTGGTTGGTACTCAGTGCATTCGGGCATTTACTTTTGCCAAACTTTGGACTGTGGTGCTAATCTTGGCTAAGAGACTGAAATCTTGACTTCAGATCCCTGTATTCCTAGTGTCAAAACCTTAGTGAAACAAATCAGTGAATCCATATCACTCATCTCAGTGTTCACACAACACTGCCATATCCCACTTTCACACTGGCCTATGGGATAGAAGGATTCGTGATCCCACTCCACAGATGAGGACAATAAGGCTTAGAGCAGTTAATTGACCTGACTGGAGTCACATTGTATCCTTAAGCAAGAAAGAGGAGTAGAACAGAAGTTCTCCGACTCCTTGAACAGTTTTCTCATTCTTAGCAAAGTTAGCAAAGGCCCATGGAGACAGATAATTCCAGAACCTCCAATTAGGGTGCTTTGTAAAAATGCAAATTTCCTGAATCAGTGTGTCGGGGTGCAGCCTGGGAAGTGAAGGAACAGAAGGTTAAGTGACTTAGCCAAGGCCACCCAGCTGGTGAACAGTGAGGACAAGCGTTAAGCCCCGGCTCTGCTGCATGGGAGCAGCAACTGAGTAATTACAGATGTGTCAGCACCACAGAGACAGGAGGCCCCGTGGGAGTGCACGGCAATGGTGGCTCATACTGAAAAGTCAGACAAGCAAACCGTTCTCAGTCTCAAAGCATTTGGCACAAGCAGACCACATCCCCAGTGTCTGCTCCCATGCCCCCCTTTCATCCATACTTTGTGCCTTTGCAGCTGTGTCCCAAATCCAGAACTTGGCTGATTTTTTTCAAAGGCCTAAAAATAGAGGCTCCTGTTCCCCACCAAACAATTCTAGAAGCCATTTCCCTGCCCCTTCTTCTTGCAGACACCCATGAGAACTCCTTTCCCCAAATAAAATCATGATGAAATCCCGGGAAAAGCCATTGCTCGCTTCTCAAAATGATTTTCCTGCAGACAATGGAGGTGCTTTGCTTTCCCCAGAAGCACATAAGAACTGCAAATTAATTATACAACATAATTAGCTCTCTTCTCCAAATCTGTGCAGTGGGCACTTTGAAGCAAGAATAATAATAGCGGGCTTTGGATTGCTACCTTAGTAACAAGAGTTTGTAGGAGGGAAACAATTATTCCAGAGAAAGACCCTGGGTAGCACTTTCTGGAGTATGCTAAATGTTCATTGATAATAAGCAATTTTGTGTGAAGAATAGACCAGCAATATTTTATGTTTTAATAGTCCATTATTTATCTGAATGTGTATTTCAAATGTATGTATTACTAACTCACCAAACTCATGGATTTACAGACAGTCTTAGGATGGCGCTGAATGCATTATCTACTGCTGTGTAATATAATAATCTATTGCTGTGTAACATAGTACACCCCAAATCAGCTACAAGCATTTCATATCTCACAGTTTTTGTGAGTCAGGAATTTAGGAGCAGCATTAGCAGAATGGGTCTGTCCTGGGGCCCGTCATGAGCTTGTGTCAAGATGTCAGCCAGGGCTGCCATCATCTGCTGGCTGGACAGGCTCTGAGTGATCCACTTCCAAATGGCTCACACAAGTGGCTAGCAAATCAATGCCAACTGTTGACAGGCAGTCTCAGTTTCTCTCTACCTGGAGCTCTCCAGGGGGCTCCTTGAGCTTCCTTACAACATGGCAGCTGCTTCCCCCAGAGTAAGTGATCCAAGAGAGAGCAAGCTGGGAGCCTCAAAGTGTGTGGTGGCACAGGGTCACTTTTGCAATAATGTGAATTTCAGGGGATGAGAGTCAGTGGGGGAACCTGTTCCCATGGGTTTGGTGAGTTAGCAATATATACAGATATGGTTGTGAATAATTCCCTCATGATGGGTGAGGAAACTGTGTCACAGGAACAAGAAGTCACTGTTTCCTGATTATGCTGCTAATAAGCGGCAAAGCAAGGACTCTGCCTGACTCTCAGTCCTAAACTGGGGGGTTTTTTACACTGAGAGAATGTTCACTAAGTTCAGTGGCCCATTGAGAGAGGTAACTGTAAAACCTTGCTATGGAAGAGTCCTTGCCATTTAAGGAATTTCTGAAGTGTGTTACTGATTTCTGAAGCCTTTTCTTGTATTTTCTCTACTTGCTTTTATTTATAAAGGGATAGCCCCCTCCCCCCCCCAAAAAAAGGCCATCTCCCCATCTAAGGTTGATGTTTTTGTTTTAAAGAGGTGTCAAGGAATGACTCCTGCTCAGATTTGCCGGAGATCCAGAATGGTTGGAAAACCACATCTCACATGGAGCTTGTGAGGGGAGCCAGAATCACCTACCAGTGTGACCCCGGCTATGACATCGTGGGGAGTGACACCCTCACCTGCCAGTGGGACCTCAGCTGGAGCAGTGACCCCCCATTCTGTGAGAAAAGTAAGAGTCATCCTATTTCCTCTCGCTAGGTCACTGGGTGGATCCCTCCCAGAGGTATCTTTCATGTGAATATAGTGGTCTATCCCCTGCCCTTCCAATTCATTGGTCTTGTTCAAAAATGTCATTTTGTAGCCCTCAGTGGGATCTCAGACTCAAGTGGCTTTAGAAGAAGCCTGGCAGATAATGTAAAGGAGAGAAACAAGGTGAGTGAGAGACAATAGGGAGTGGTGTGGACTGTGGAGAATGGGAGATATGTAGCCTGAGTTAAAAACAAAAGAAGAAGAAAAAGAAAAATTCAATTCAGATCTTAAAAGACCTGTAGGTGCTAAGTAAAATAAGCCTAAATTGGCCCTGGGAGCCCCAGCTCTAAACCTTTACAGAATGCCTTTCCATCAGAGTGCATTTTCTTGCTCTCCTGATCCCTTCTGCCTGCTGTTTCTGTTCTCTCCAAGAGCGTGACCCAATCATATGGCAAGAGCAGAGTTTAGTGTCTTGAAAAAGGGTATACAAAGGAAGTCTTTCTGGTTTTTACAGTGATACTTTACTGGAGAGGGAGGAACTAAATTTGGAAGTGACCTCATCCCCTGGCTTCCCCTCTATCAGGGTGTCCAATCTGTGGCCTGCTGATTTTGTGAGGACCTTTTTTTTATCTGTAGTACTAGATATCACAAGAATTATGCACGGATCTCGTTCTCTTTCTTTTTTTTTTTTTTTTTTATTTTCTAGTCAGCTTTCATTAGTATTTGTGTATTTAGTGTGTGGCCCAAGACAACTCTTCTTCTTAAAATATACCGCAGAGAAAAAACAAAAAAGGTTGGACACCCTCCTTATCACCTAAATGACTCTGTCATCCTCGACCCTCTGGTTGGGAATCCTTGGAGATACTTTGGTAGACCTACCTGCTCCACGCAACTTGAATCATCAGTTGCACAGTAAAAGATATTAAGTGTTAGCAGAGAAAGAGGATGTCAGGGAAGGGGTGGTAGTGGGGGGTCACCTACAATTTCTATAATGAATGTTTCAACATAAAAGAAAATTGCAGTTGTGGGAAATGTGAATGAACCCACCAAAGTCCCACAAAATTAAATACCTAAGGCTGGGTGCGGCAGCTCACACCTGTAATCCTGGCACTCTGAGAGGCTGAGGCACATAGATTGCCTGAGCAAGAGTGAGACCCCCTCCCTGCAGTCATCTGTAGTCCCAGCTAATTGGCAGGCTGAGGCAGGAGAATCACTTGAGCCCAGGTGATTTCTGTATTAAGATTTCTGTGAGCTGTGATGCCACAGCACTCTGTTGTACCCAGAATTCCCCTGAGTCCCTGAGCCCACGAAGGGACGAACCGAGATACACTCCGATGTAAAAGCAAGAGGCAAGCTTTATTTGGCAAACTCGAGTTTGGACC